CCCACCAAAATTCAAATTGGACCTCATCCTTGCTTGAACTGCTTAAGCTGCGATTTCTATTGGTTCAAAGCTATACTAGCTAAGAGGTGCCAAAATGTCAGCTTGATACATTTTTAAAACAAACAGTTGTACCTGAAGTTATCCAAACAAGTGGAAAACAACTATTTTAAGATTCATCAGCAATCATTATTGTCTAAGCAAAGTTCAATGTCATGGGCCAGTTAACACATCTTACGAACAATGCATTGCAGTTGTTTAACCTACCATGACGCCCAATTGGTGCTTTATGTGTGGTTACGTAGGTCTCTCATGCTTCACGTCTGAGACATTTTAGCACGTAACCGTCTAAAACAGGCTGGTATTTGCTTTTTACCTTTGTTAGTCTTCCCAAAAGTGTATCCTGTGTTTCATTTTGTCTGTAAGATTCGCGTTTTCCAGGTCAGCTGGTCATTATTGCTGATTTTAGAGATGCCTTTGAGATATATGAATGAATGGCCAAGAAAAAAGGCTCCAATGTTCAACGAAATAGAAGCAGGAAGATTGATTACCCTTTATTGTGAGAACTATGACTGGTATCATGGAAAGTTCAAATGGGGTATGTATTGTTTAATGCCCTTCTACGACTATTCTCACCTTAAATTGAAGGCGGAAAGAACGTGGTAAGTGACAAGCAGCGTCTGCTGAAAGAATGGTCGGAAGAAATCTCATCGCTCGGATTTGCTACCCGCACCAAAGATCAGATCGAGGAGAAAATTAGAAACGAAGTGAAGAAAGTGCAAAAACATTTAAGAAAAATCAAGGCTGAGGTATATTCTTCTCTGATTTCTTTTTTTATAGTGGCTTCCGTTTTCTTTTTATAATATATTCACTCATATTTTATTACAATCTGACTAAAAATTATAAAGTCCAATATAATTTTGCTTCCGAATGTCGGTGCCTCCAATATCGATCGACTGCGTATAATTTCGTCAGGTCGTTGGAGTATCTTTCTTCACAAAGTCCCAACGAATGCCAATAAATGAAAATAAGGGATATAAGTAATCCTTTAAAACTTTGTTTGAGAGAGCCTAGCCCTCTGAACGCTACAACCTTATATAATGCTATGTAGATAGAGGTAATCGTAAGTACTTTTACTTCCAGTTACCTATATCCACGTAACTCTATACTAAGAGAGTTAGCGATGGGTTAATTCAAAGAGATGCTTCACGCCATGTGGTAACCGTACAGTCATTTCGCAGACATTGCGGATTGAACCTTCTTTTATTCATTTTAAACCTACTTGTGAATCAAATTGTTTTCTGCCATCTAAAAACGTTCTTTAAAATCTGTTACATTTACATCTTAAGACATTATGAGTTTTGAACATAAATCGGCGTTATATGACCAATTAAATGCTCTGGTACTGATCCCTCAACAAGATTGCTCATCACTTCTTAGAATTGAGAATAGTCTTGTCCTCTTGTTAGTCCTTAATTTATTTCAGAAATTGAAGCGGAGATGTTCTGCAGGTGGAAAACAGGCACAAGTACCGAGACTACCATCTTACCTTGATCCACTTATTGAGCTAATCAATGACAGGCATCCCGAATATGATGTAACGGGGGTAGCAGAGCAGCTCCATACGAAGCAAGGCAAGTTGTTTATAAGTTGTTGTTGGTTGTTATCTTCGATTTCCTCTTCTAGAAGGGAATAGCTCATCTGAGCACGATGGTGATTATGACACAAGTGGTTCATTGGAGTACAACGTTGCTCTATTCAACGAAGACAGGTTTGATCTATTTATGATTTAATATCGATTTTTCATGTTGGTTTTTTTTTTGCTTTGAGGAAACCCACCGAGGAGGAACTTCGTGAACTTCGCACTAAATTAGGATTAGATTCGTCTGTTGTTTTGGAAGACCCATCTACTTGCAGAGAGCAGGGACCCTCTCTCGAGCAAAACGCTGGTAATATTAATCACAGTGGACGAAGCTCAGAGGAGAGGACGAAAAC